CGGCATGGAGCACTGCAGCACCTAAATCTCTCGTTTGATATTTTGGCCATTAGCTTCTTGGTTCCTGTGCTGCTGGAAAAGAGTGATGACGTAAGTCTGTAGTTCTGACAGCGATTAATAATGGAATTTAAACACAAAAAAAGAAAGCCCTGCATTTAAATAACAAATGGGACATAGGTGTGCTGTCCTTTTTAAGGTAACATCTTGCTTTTGCACAGATCTAACTTCCCCTCATGTGTCCCCAAGGGAATGCGGCAGTACCCCAAATTCTATCAAGGAAGACAAACATAGTTCAGAGAGGAGAAGGGAGCTTACAGTTCAGAGAGGAGCAGGCAGCTTGCCTGTACCAGCTCTTTGTAGGTAACATAGAACACTATGGGATTAGCTGAAGGGATTAGCCCCGCTGCAATTAATGCATGTAAACAAGCCCTGAACTTCACATGACTTTATACAATGAGTTTTGATGGGTGACTTTTGTTTTGGAGGCTCTGCAGGCACACCAAGGGTGCCAGAGGACTTCTCTCCAGGAAGAAGTCCTCGAAGTTTCTTCATCAAAGGGTCTTCCTGTATATGCTGAACTGCACCCCCTGACCGCTGCTTTCCCTTGATGCATCTCAGTAGTGATCTGTGATATAGCTACCACATAGCTACTAAACACTTCATGCATCATTCCTGATCCTTCTCTTGTAGGTGGGTGCATTAAATGCCTGTTTCTTTGCTAGACGAGGTTTCCATGTTGACATTTATGAAGCCAGAGAAGGTAAGTTCAGCCTGATCATTACTGCTTTATTAATGTTTCTGTCCCTTTACTGATAACAGTTCTCGAAGAAGCAAAAGAGGAACTGTGTGAGCTCACTGAAACTTCAGAAACATAATGAAATCTGGAAGTGTGACCCTTTGGGGATATTCTTTTCCCTCTTCCCTTTAGCTCCTGTGGTGGTGGGGAGCATTTATTTGAAATACGTTGTCTTGTCTGGAGGGAACCCACCCTTCAGCTACTAAAATGATGCCCTTTTTTATGCACTTGGCTTAAATATTGATTCAAATCATCACCTTTGAAAATTTGTCTCTGCGTAAAGAATTATAGCACAGTGCTGTTGAAGCTGCATCAGAAGTTTGGAAGCAACAACTTGTTAATGCTGCAGCAATTCTGTTAGGATTAAAAGCATTGACTTGTCTGGTAACCGCTGCCATCAGTGATGAGGACAGCTGGTGGCAAGAGAGGCAGAAGGAGAGATGGACTGCTTTCAGGAAGCCTCCAGCTCTACAGGGCACCGCAGCAGAGAAATGATGGTTCAGAGCCCAGGTGCTGGCTGAAAGGGAGAGAAATCATTTGCCTTCAGTGTCTATCAGCTGACAGACAAGTAAAACCTGGGCAGACATAGCAAGCCAAGTGGCAGATGAGAATGACACCATGCCAGGTGAAACTTAACTCGAACGTGCTGTGAAAGGAAGGAGAAGCCCTGTGTGACACGTGGTCTCTGTGATAACTCTTACTGCTTGGGCAGACATCGAGATGGACAGTTCTGCTGCATGGTTCCCATCTGCACCCGTCCTGAGTCCTGCACACAGCTCTGGGTCCCCACCGCAGAAACAGGGGTCACAGTAGCCAGGCCCAAGCGAAGCCAACAGGCTGCAGGCCTTAAGCAAGAGCAAATGGC